GGGTATTCTGGACATTTCCCTTAAGTCGGCCGGGGCATTTTGGGGACTTCAGGTATATATTGTACTCCTATATAAAGGACTGAGGTAACCCTAAACCCTAACTCCCATTCATTCCATACATTTCCATTACTGCTGCTACTCTCATAGCAGCCCCCATCATCTCTCTCACATACTGACTTGAGCGTCGGAGGCTCTACGCCGGAAAAACCCTCCGGCGTTGAGTTCTTGCAGGTGTTCGTGCGATTCAGCAACGGCTCGAAGGTCATCAGGCCAGATCTAAGCTCATTCATACCGGTTCATCCCAGATCCGGACGTTTTCCTATCAAACCGTTCCAGATCTGAGAGTAGACCCATCTAAATTAAAATTTATTCAAGCCTAATAACGAAACATGTAATTTTGCCAGGATTCCGAAGCAGCAGAAGCAGCCACGTAAGCTCAGCGCGTTCTGTATTAATATATAGGGGGAGGAGGATATATATATATATATATATATATATATATATATATATAGAGAGAGAGAGAAAGAGAGAGAGAGAGAGAGAGAGAGAGAGAGAGATAGGTTCCAATGAGAATGGTACAAAATATGACAAATGAGAATAAATCTACACCACACATTCTATTAAATTAAAGGTCAAGATCAAATCTGCTGACATTGACCGTACAGTTATTAAGCGGTGGCAAACGCGTAAATAAACAATAACATTGCTGTCAATATTAATCATGAAAGGGCATTAATGTATTTTCAGATTTATCAGATAGTTGTTTGGGGTGAATGTTTGTCTTCAGACCCATTTATTGCTTTTGGAGTAACGTGCACAATCTCAAGGCGATTTTTCAGTAGAAGAGTTCTTCAGTGGTGAGCTGATTTCTCCCCCATCTCGATTCAAAATTGGTGAGTTTTTTCTTACGATTTTAACACTCGAGCTATGCCTTGCAATTCTCGGTTTTGTTATGAGCTTTTGGTTTAATTTTTTTTTTAACTTTGATGTTGTATAGTGTGCATCATCTTGCCGTCTTCGAATGGGAAATTCTCCCAGGAAATCGGGTAACAATATCATCGAATCTCTCTCAATTTATTTGGTTCTCCATTTTGTAGATCTGACACTATGTGTTTCACAATATATTTATTAAAAAAAAATATGGTAGCCAGATTCTTGTGTTTAGGGAAAATTTTTAGAATTTGTATGATATTTATGTTCTTTATTTAGTGCTTGTAGTATTCTAGTGTGCTTTTTTTGTTTGTTGTTGTTGTATTTTTTTATTTTTTATTTATTTTTTGTATGTAATGTGCATGTTTGATTCAACCTTTCTTTGTGAGGTACTAACCGTAAGGCAAGGAGCTCTGTAACTGAAAATGTGGTTCAAGGTTAGGCACATAACAATTTACACTTTACATCCTTTTTTAGTTAGTATGCTGATATTGTTAATGGTTCTTTTGCTGTCTCATGCACCACATGTGTTGGTGCAGATAAAAACAATGGTGAGGTAGGAATAACAGATCGACCTCCTGGCGTCTTCAAAGGTATATGTCGTCAATTTAAGACATCATGACATACCAATTCACTTTTTTCGGCATTTTTGTACTGAATGATTGGTAATGTAATAGCGACCCGACGTCGTACGAGCTTGGCATTATTACAGCAAAGCGGTGCATCCCCGAACAGTGAAAATGCACACCAAGGTAATGTCATGTTGGTGTGCGGTTCTGTTTATGTATACGTGATGTGCAATGTAGAAACCGAATATGAAAATTAATATTATATTGTGGACTACATATTGACTGAATATTAGATTATCCATGTCCTCGGTTTATATTCTTTTGTTCTGAATGTTTTAAAGTTGGCGTAGTTTTAAAGTGTTCAAGTGTTTCTTAAGACGTGACTGCTAACCATTTGTATATTAAGTAGATGCACTGTGTAAGAGACATTCAGATGATCCTGGACGTGGTATTGCCCGTGTGAAGCGTACGAAAGTCGGTCCACCCAAACTGAGTCAACCTGATAGCGATGATTTCGTCGACGATGTACCTAGACACGGTCTTATGAAAATTACGAAGGCCAAGCATGGTATATTCGGTTAATTACACTTTAAAATGCATATAATTTTATTTATTTATTTATTCTGTTATTTGACTAGCTTATGATTTTATTTTAATTTTCAGACAAGGGTAAATATGAAATATCAGACAACGACACTTTAGACAAATATATAGACAACTATGTTGCTGACGATGTTGGCGTTGGTTCTGACATGGATGATGAGAAGTTCCCGAGCATGAACACAAGGTCGTCAGCATCGATTTTCGTTAAGGCAATTTCTGACATGTCTGACGTGAAAAAGCTTGCGATACGGGAAATGGGACTGGGGTGTTTACTGGAGTTGGGCATAACATCAACCCCGTCAAAAATGGGGCTCTGGCTAGTAGAAAACTTCAACTACATGGACCGGAAGCTGCAATTATACGATGGTGAGAAGGTACACATCAAGGAAGATGACGTGTATGTTGCGTTTGGGCTACCTCGTGGGAAGATTGAAATAAAAAATAAGAAGAAGAGGTTACATCACGTTTGCTGGATGATTGGATTGAGTTATTCAATGTTAAGTGTTCAACAAATATCACGGCTTCAAAGGTGTTGGACAAGATGAAGGAGTGCGCTGATGCTGATGATTGGTTCAAGCGCCATTTTATCGTCCTTATGGTCTCTTGTCTGTTTGAGAGTTGTCCAAATGGAATGGCAAACTTCCGTTTGATGCACATGCTCGAAGATTTATCAACTGTAGCCAATATGAATTGGTTCTCGTACATGATTCGGTGCTTGGTAGACAGCAAGAGATCGTGGGAAGCGAACGGTAAACCGAAGTACACAGGGCCATTATTGTTCTTGACGGGCAGTTAATCTATTTTGTTCCCTTACTATTTCTTTTTGCCCTGTTGTTTGTGTCCATTTTTTTTCGGGTTACTGTGAATACTTTTTGGTATATTTTTCTGAGAGATTTAGTGACAGCGATTGCTTAATAGTGTTTATATTTTTATCTATGTTCTGTCTGACAGCTTTTCTATGTAGACAAGGTAGTCTTGTCTGTGCGTTCAGTTGCAAGAGTTTTCCCGACATTTAAATCGTGGAGCAATGAGTCATTGAGAGACAGAGAACGCGATGAGATCAGTTCAGGAGCCTTTGGAAAGGGTTTCGTGGATTCTGACATGTGCGTGAACGTCACTAGCCCTCAGTCAGATAAAGCTCTGCTCAGATGCTAATGGGGCAACTAATGAACATACCCTACAAGTATGTATTACGAGATATATGCATTGTCTTTCTACGTACATATAACACATATACGTGCTTCAAATTTATATGTTTTGTGATGTTACATTTTTCTTGCTATTTATTTATTTATTTTTTTCTTCTGTTTTGTTTAGTATTGGAATATACTGTACAATATACATTGTAAGTTTGTGCAGTGATGGTAATGTATTGTGCAATAGTCAATGTAAGTTTGTGCATTTTCATTGATGGGGGTGTTGCAGTTGTCATCCTATACATTTTTCTTATAATTTATTTAATTGTGCCTAAAATTATAGATTCCTGATATTCTTTTTTTTTTTTTTAGATAATGATTACCAGATTCCTTTTGACATGTACATGTTTGCGATTAGTGATGTATGTGACGAACAATTTAAATTAAATTATAATTTAATTTGATTATTGACGGCATACACATTCTATTTTTTTTTTTTTGGAATTATCATGTATTGTGCATTACATATTGAACAATCGTGCAATTCATATATCGTAATTGTGCTATTGCAAATTCTAGATCCTTTAGTCCCCTGGGATTGTAGTTCAACAGGCTTACGTTCTTGATTTTGCATCTAAAACTCGTACTCTCGCTGCAATTGGTGGTGAAATACTAAAGTTGGTCGAAAAGGCACCACAAGTTTTACTGGGGGATGAAAACTTTATCAAAATGCAAGAAGCAGCACAAAAACTGCTTGGAGTGTATAGTGAAGCACCCAAGGGGGATTCGATCCATCCCGGCTCAAGTCAGCCTCGTTGCACTGGAACTGCAAAGAAAGGCGGCGCAACGAATGACGATGTGAATGGTGTTGCCTCTCAGATAGCCGACGATGCATTTTGGAATGTTCCTGTAACATTAGCGGCTATAGACGACATTATGAAGGCAGTTGAGCAGTGAGAGCTTCTTCGAGAGCGTTTTCTGAGAGTGCACAACGAGGGGCATAGCTTCAGCGTGGGCTTGTCATCGGATGATGAAGCTGCCGATGATAACCATGACAATGCGTGCGGGGCAGCAACTGCAGCAGCTGTAACTCCTGGAGTGGTCATAATTCAACAAACGGTGGAGACACCGCCCGTAGTAGATGCACAACTAGGTACGTGATAGAAATATTTCATTCATATACGTATGTGTGTGTGTTCGTTTTTTTTAATAGTGTGTCTGTGTCTACATATCGGCCATGTTAATCGTATTACACTATATATTTATTTATATGTTCCTAGACGGTGTTGATGATGTACGTGGGTCCCCGAGGCCGAAGAGACGCATCAAGGCTACCAGTGCAATGAAATCTCCCTACATACAGAGAATAATTGATGTGGTCAAGAAGCTTGACGGGCACGAGAAGATGATAGTCAACTGGATAATGAAGAATGATGATGCTGATAGGTACGATTATTGTTGTGTATTTAGACTTGAGAGTTGAGACATGTAATTAATGGAGTATTATTCTATTTTTTTTTCGTACGCATGATTACGGACACACACAGCGACGTTGTTATATTCCAGTCATCTGAAATCTCCGTAAAGAAGGACGTTGTTAAGTGTTTGCTGCCAAATACAGCAATTACAAAGGAACTACTAGAGTTATGGTCATTCATTCTGAACTATATTGAGACTTTCAAAATTCGTGGGGCGGCGCCATGTTTTTTTGCATCTACGTCCCCTTGCAATGAGGTGTCATACTTATCTTTACGTGATTTTTTATATTATGTGCATGTTTACGAATATACTAATTGTCCCTTCAGATCTTTTTTTTTTTGAAACAATTGATACGTTTTCTTGTCGGGTTTAATTATGTACAGACAAAGGTTAGCTCGATATACTAGATGAAAGTCCTATGATAATCGATCATATTGTTTGATATTTTATTTGTTTTGGAATAATTCAGTAATTTGAGTATATTGTGTTATTGTGACGCTACGAAACCTGTTCAATCCTAGATATATGACCATGATATTGTGTGTAGCTAGAGCTCTTGTGTGCTATGATCTTTGTTATATTGTGCTTTGGTTAAACGCATACGTTTTTTTTTTTTTCTCTCTTGGTTGGCATTGTGTTTTGCAGCTATTTTTCGATGGAAAAAGAAGGAAGGACTTGAACTACAAAAAGTTTTCCCAATTGCTAGATTCTGAAATTGCACGAAGGTCCAGTTACCAGCTAAAGCAGATATCGATGGTATTCAGTTTTCTTGTTTTTTATGCATTAAGTCACCATTGGCTCGTCATTTACATGAACAACTCTGTTGGATTACATTTTGAACTACGTATTTATTTTATCCTCAGTTTTTATTTCCTGTGCATTCTGGAACATTTTCGGGATTATTATGTGTGGCTCTGGAATCCTAGAAATACACTATTTTAGATAGTGCTGGTAGAGGTGGCTGTGAAGAAGGCACTCAGGTCACGTGCTGAGTTGTTGGTACTGTTATAAACTAAATATGATTGGTGGATTACACTTGTGTTTGTATTGTACTTATATTTACCGTGGATTAATTTGTTACAGCAACAATCACTATCAAAGTATTTAGGCGAGAGGAATTTGTCAAGGAGTTCTATGTCAGTTGCATTAGCCATTCCGGAAGTTGTTGATGTGGCATGGATCGATGGGGTTGATGAGGCTGATGTTGGCGTGATCACAATGCGTCACATGGAGACTTTTAAGGGAGTTGTTGGTAAGAGCTGGAATCCACAGCTAAAGATGGGAGACAAAGGGCAGATGAAGCTCATAAGGAAGCGCTATAGTTATGTCATAGCTTGCGCACCGAATAATGCACTGAAGGATGTCAATCTGGAGGCAGCAAAGAGATTTCATCCGACTTATCTCGCAAAGAAACAACATGTGTCAACGTAGTGTGATCGAATGGACTGCTTAATGATGTAGATGGTGAATAGTTAGTACTTTTGATGTTTTGTGGATCACCGCTCATTTAATACTTTTGAGTACTCTAGTACTTGTTTTGATGTTTTGTGAATCATCGCTCACTTAACTTTTGAGTACTCTTGTGGGAATGACCTTTTTTTATGACATGATGATGTGTGGATAATGGTTAATTGGATTGTTTTTTTTTTTTCAAAAAAAAAATTTATGTGTTTTCTATGTATATTATTCTTATGTCAGGCTGTGATATGGATGCCAATTGTAGGTACTTGGGGTTGGGGTTTCATTCCAGTAGTCGATTCAGTTATGGTTAAATATATAATGTGCATAGTAGACATATGCAATGTGCAATATTATACAAGATGTTGTGCAATACAATTTTATTGTATATACCATTTGTTCTAATGTTACACGTGAACCTATTGTACTACAATTGTATGCGATTTTTTTTTATCGGTTGACATTATAGAAGTAGGTTGGTGAGCATCAATTAATATTTCGAGCGTGCGAAATGCGACTGTATCGTTCAATGTAAATATAATTCTGTGAGTGTCATTTTTCTATTTTATAATAATAGATTTGTGTTGTGCTTGTATATATATGAACTTTTGCTCCTATCAACATACACATACGCGTGTACTTGTACATTGAATTGTACAGAATACAGACAAATATAACGAGCATAATTACGTATAATAGTGGTAAGGCCAATCCCAACATGTTATATCTGTTATTTTATAGTGCACCACGGCCTGTTATTTTATAGTGCACCACGGCCAGTTATGTTGTGTAGCACGCGTGAACTATCGTGCAAATAGATATGCCATCAATGCGGGAGATAAATAACAGTATTAATATCATTCGTAGTGATAATACGACAACTATTTTAATACTTCTAAAATAAAAATTGTGCCAACCAAATGTATCTAACAATTGTATGTCCTGACAATGAGCGTGGATTTAGTTCCTCCACAATTAACGTAAAACAAAATAATGTGCCAACACCGCGCGTGCAAGTGAAAGTCCCAGCCCATACAGACAGACTGCAAATGTGAAAAATTTAGAAATTAGTATATGAATTCGATGATTAATCAAGAAAAAAATGATGTGTATGTGCAAATAAGGTGATTGTAACGCGATTCTAACAAATAATATTATGTAATTATCCATATCTTTTTCCACAGAGCACCCTGTTGAATTTGTCGGTAAGGTAAGTATACAATAATCATATTAAATTACAAACAACATGTAATATCCAATGTAAACGTACGATACTTATGTATTGATAGATCAATTCAATTGATATTGTTTACCTCCAACCATTTCTAGATGATATGTTGTTGTCTTTTAGGGCATGTACGCATATTATGTCCGGCCCTCTCGCCACACGTCTTGCAAAGTCTTCTTTTTTTATTAGACTATTCGACTGACTTTTCCTTGGCCGATTTGATCCTTTTTCCACTACCTTTGTTTTTCGATTATGTTGGGGGGTGGATGTTTACTGTTTCTAGAGCAGATGTGCCGACAAACATATCAAACCTTTGTTCTTTGGCAATGCTGGTCGAATCACTGTCTTGGACTGCCAGTAGTTTGTTCTTGTGTTCCCCAACGATCTTGGAAAACTCTACAAGTCGGTCCATGCTTGTCTCAACCAACCCCATGCATACATGTATGTCGGACCACAACTTATTAACCATGAACTTTTTTTCATCCCGTTGTGCACATTGATCGGAAAGGCTATCGAGTATACGGAACATAGGGTTTGTGATGGCAAGTTTTGTCCACCTTGACACAATATGTGCAGGTGGTATTACCTCCATGTTTATGTCTTTGAACACGACAAACATGTGACTACACACCAGCCCGTACATCTCGAAGTGTTTGCACGAGCATTTTGATGTATTAAGCTCTACATTATGCACTACTGTATAAGTTTTCCCATCACCATCTTTTATTACGAACGTCATGTGGCTGCTCTCTTCAGAAAAATGTATAACTCGACATTTGTAACATGCTTCACATATCTCATTTTGCACACGATAGAATATCGTGGTGGTGTATGTATCAAGAGCAGAATTTTCA